CTTGTAGAACTGAACACCTCTTGTCCCGAAATTGGTTTGTGCTTCAGGAAGTGGTCTAAGGACTATTCCAATGGCTACATAACAGAATCACCTGGGCATTTGAAGAAAATACTAAGCCAGGGCCTCAGAGAACTGAATCAAAATCTCTATGGGGGCAGCCCAGGCTCAAACAAATGTTTGTTTTCTCGGGTCTTAGTTTAATGAGGTGTCAATGAGGCGGGGGGAAATCCTCATTTGGCTTAGGATTCTAGGACCTTTAGTTTTGATTTTACCAATTGGTTCTTGCTCCTAATATGAAAAGGAAGGGGGAGGGGGTGGGAAGTATTTATATGTGTTCCTTTTTTCTTCCCTGATTACCCTCAAAAGAGCTTTCAAATAATCTATGTATTGAAGTACTGAAGTCACAAACTAGTTGCAAAAAATCAGCTTACTGGAACAACAGGAAAGACATTCTTTTGCTTTGCAAAGGCTTTCCCATCATCTGGAGCCAAAAATATTATCTTCTGACCCAAAAAGCTACTAATAAACCTTGTTTCTTTCTATAGGCCAAGCAAGAGAGATGATTTTGCCCTAAGCAACAAAGCAAAAAGAACAAGATTGTTCTCTGGATCCTCCCACCCCTACTCTTGCCCTCTCCCACCTCCAGCCACCCTCCACTTCCAGGTACCTCCCTCCTGCCCTTGGGCTGCCTGGAGTCCCACAAACTGTCCCCATTCCCACAGGCTCCCTTCCTTCCTAAGAGCTGCCTAGCCCCAAGTTAAACCCCCCATTTTTTCCCTCCCCATCCAAATTCCAAACCAATCTCAATCTCTCTCTCTCTCTCTCTCTCTCTCTCTCTGGAAGACTGTTTATGCACAGAATGTTGTGTTCTTTCCTCTCCGTTTCTTCAGGAGTCTGAGTGAGAGAAGGCTGCATTATGGAGGCACACAGGAAAGCTGGCATAACTGGGGCCATTTGCTAGTGATGCACCAATAAGAAGTTAAATTAATGGTACTGTATTTTTTGTTACTGATCCATTGGAAAACTGGGGGGGGGGGGGGGGGGGGGGGAGCTAAAACAGTAAGCTTCAGTTTTGAAGACAATTCACTCATGTGAGACTCACTCCCCCTAAATTGCAAAGATAAATTAAAATGAAAACTTATGTACTATATTTATATTTTAAAAGATGAGATTGTTGTCCCAAATTAATCTCTAAATGGCAGGGTAAGTCAGGGGAGGGAGAATGGAGGCATACTGTAAACCCTTTGTCAACTTGTCAACTCCCTGCCTCAAAAGACCTCAATCCACTGCACCACTAAAAAACCTCAGAGATCAGTAAAGGGCACCCCTCTTTCTGAAAGTTTGCTAAACTGACCTAGGCCTCTGTGGCTAGCCTCGTAGGGTTAAGACACAATCAGCAGCTCTCCAAAAGGCCACACACCTCTGACTTTACATCTCTGCCTATAAAACAAGAACATTTATCACCTCCTTCCTTTGGAACTCTTAGCTGGCTTCACCAGTGGCCAATGACAATAAAAATGTTTGTTATTTATAATGCCCAATAGCATGCCATGTCTGAGGACAGAGTCCCCAAGCACAGGGATTACGTTTTTACAATGTGATACAATTGTGGGTGGAAAAACTCCAATCATGACCCCCTTCTCAAAATACCAGAATAAGAAACAGAGATGGACAGAACCACTTAGAGGCCACAAGCCTGTCCATATTTACCAAGGCCCCCGCCCCCACACTGCTCCTCCCTGCCTATTCCCTATGTGCTAGCGCTCCTTAAGGCCCCTCTTCTCATCTCGCTCCATATTCTCTCCTAAGGAGACCTCATTCTCTCCTTTGGCTTCAGTTACAAGTCATCAATTCCCAAATGTTGATCAACCCTCAGCCCAGGTGATTCTCCTGATACAGACCTGTACATCTTAAAGGCACCTGTTTAAAACTGAACTCAGCATGTTCCTTCTCCACCCCCATCCAAGCCTGCTCCTTCACCAGGTTCCCCACTGCATCCAGTAAATTCCCATCATCCTCCCAGTTCTACAGCAGGCTCTCTGAGACACAGTCATCTCCAGGACATAGGGGTCTCCAGAACACATTGTATTCTGTTAAGCGAAAAAAGAAAGATGTGAAACTGTGTTTACTCGTAATAGTACGCTACCTTATGTGTATCAAAGAGGGAGTATACATACATACATACATACATATATATATATATGTGAAATAACCATATATCACAAATATACATTTGTGTATGTTTTCAAAAAAAAACAAAGGAAGGATAAATCAAAATAATAAAAAAGGCCACCTAGTTGGAGGAAGGAAGGGAAAAGGTTGAAGAATACTGAGATTAAAGGAAACTTCTGTGACTGTATCTTGTTATACAGTTTTGACTTTGGGAAATGTTGTATATAAATGTTTTATATAATTTTAATTAAATCAAAAGAAAAAAAAGCCCTAAAAATTAAAAACAAATTAAAGCAAATTAACCTAATTGTATGTCATGATGGAAGTATACCTATATGAAGAAAAGAATTACTGAACACAGTACTCTGACTAGACATCCCTTCCTGAACGTATCTGTAGGCCAAAACAGAACCACAAAGAAATCTTAAGTTTCACTCTGAGTCTTACTATTAGAGTGAAACCAATATAGTTATTTTAAAACTATAACAAGTATATCGTAGGTGTGCAGAATAGAGTACCATTAAAAAAGCTGCTATCCTTAGAAAAGTCAGCTTGTAAGGCTGGCCCTTGGTTGGCATCTGGGAAACTGGATTTGGGGTGGTTCCCACCATTACCAGAACTGGGGTGGCTCACTGTGTCTACAAACTATTTGTGCAAACAATAAGGTTTATGCTGAATACCTGCTTTCCTGCTAGAAGTCTGGAAGTTTAGTCTGTACTAAGCAGAGGGTGCTATGTGACCATCCCCAATAAAAACCCTAGGCCAGGGGTGGGCAACCTTTCTGTGAGTGCGTGCCAAAACCAGCAAAATCTGACTCAAAATTCTTCTGCGTGCCAACCCTAATTTTTTGAGAACATGTTACGCCTACTTGATATCTCTTAAGGTGTACGTATGTGAAGAACCTTGAGAAATAATAAAATTCATTCGAGCGACAAAAACACAGTATATGATGATGAAAAATACATTTATTTTTTAATGTATACATGTACACTGATAGTCCGACAGAAAACTTTATGACTCCGTTTGATATTATCAGTGGGACTTTTGCTGCTGCATCACTGATGACAGAGATTTTACATCAGGTTTATATTTCATGACCTTCAGAGATATGCACGAGCTACTACTTTCATCCGTCAGGCTACTCCATTTACGAGACTTAACAAAATTCATCACTGAGAACAAAGATTCACAAGCGTATGTGGATGAAACCAAAACACTGGTCGGATCTAGGAAGGCAGGGAGAGTTAAGGCAGAGGCATAGAAATTGCTCTTCCCCTCTCTTGTCAATCCATGTCTATGGTCTTTAAGATAACTTGTTATGTAAAATTATTTATTTATCTAAGATGCACCTACACTGAATTTATCTGAAAAATAAAAAAGTCGATATTAAGAAAAAAATTGTAAATGGAAGATTATAAGAGAGGGTTTCGCGTGCCAGCAAAAGTTACTGGCGTGCCATGTTTGGCACGCATGCCAAGGGGTTGCCCACCCCTGCCCTAGGCAATGAGTCTCTAATGGCTTTCCCTGGTAGACAATATTTCACACAACTCAATGGAGCTCTCACTGAGACTATTTGAGCATTAAAAAAAAAAAAAAAAAACACCTAAAATTAAAACCTAACAAACATATAGATATATATGTTCAAAATATATGAAAACCAAAGCTTTGCTAGTTAAAATTGGAGACTGTTAAAGCCCAAACTCACTACTCTAAAAATTAATAAAGAGAAAGATCCAAGCATAAATCCTACCTTTTAGTATGAACAGCATTTCAGAGTAACCACACAGACAATAAGGAAAAGGCCTTCTTCAATGAAGAATTCCAACAAATAAATGGAGAAAGAAATAATGGATCTAAGCAATGATCATCCATGAGTGCTAAAACCATCTAGGGGAAAGACTTATGGGATTTATAACAGAGGGATCAGCTAACTTCATCTTATCCCAATGATCAACCCTAGAATCTTTAAATGTGTAACAACCAGACACCATCTGCCTATTGATGACATAGGACAGGAAGTACACAGCACCAGCTATGACGTGTTCTCAACAATAACCTGATCTGAATTGAATCAAGCCTCTATCAAATTTTCTATTGATAGGAAATATGTGAAACAGAGAAACAGGGCAAGTGACACCACAAAGACGCAATCAGCCAAATCCTGCATGTGGATATCCTAGATGACAATGACCTGCTTTCACCAAGATATTGATTAATATCTTGAGAAAAGTAAGGGTGGTGGTGGTGGTGGTGGTGGTGGTGGTGGTGGTGGTGGTGGTGGAAGGAGGGTGTATAACTATAGAATAAGAGTCAAAGCAACAAAAAAGCCAATCTGATCATGTCATTCTCTTACTTAAAATCCTCTGGGCTCTGCCGACTCTTCTGCACCTCTCTCATCATGTCCCCTCTGAGCTCTAACCGCCATCACCTGCATTCAGTTCCTTGAACTAGCCCCTCCTTTATTCCTCAGGTACTTACCATGCAGTTCCCTCTCCCTTGGGGAGGAAAAGTGACCTAGCCACTCAGGTGCCCTCTTGCCATCACCCTCACAGCACCTGTACTTCTCAGATGTGTATGTTTCACATCTGCCCTGGAGGGCAGACACCTCATCTTTTAGCAGAGTGTAACACGAAATAAAAATCTGCTAAACACACATGTGAACAAATAAAGTATTAATCACATGGCTCAATGTCACCAGGCAGGAAGTTAGGGACACCTTATCAATAAAGCCCAGCATAGTCCCTGCTGATCTTTGTTGCTGTGATATCTATTTTTACTACCCAGACCCACCCTGGGGAGCTAAGGGACACAAAGAAGGAAGGACTCACCGCCTCGTGGGACTTGGGAACAGGTATGATGATGGCCAGCACACAGATGAGCTGGAAGATGGCCCCCAGGAAGAGTCCATACCGTAGCAGGTTCTCCAGGAATGTGGGCTCAGGCACCTCAGGAGGTGAGAAGTCCAGGTCAGAGGCCATGGCTCCTGCTATCTGAGGTCTCCTCTGAGGACTCACCACACTCCAGAGCCAACTTCTAAAGGCAAAGGGTAAGTGTCATTTTCTACAACTGACTTTTAAATGGTACCATTACACAACACACACACACACACATATATATGCAAGAATATATAAAACAATGGTGGTGAAATCAATTATTGAATCTAGGTGGAGTATATATGGATAGTCATTGAACCATTCTTTCAACTTTTTGGTATGTTTGATTTTTTTCCAATTATAAAGTTAGGAAAAAATAAATAAGTAAATGCAAACACTTCAACAAAAATCTCAAATCAACACACATTTACTGAAGGCCTGCTATGTTTCTTATGTGTTCATTTATTCATCTAGTCATTCATTCAACAAATACTTAGTGAACACCAAGCATTGAAGAGTGAGTAAAACAGACATATCTCTATTCTCATAGGGTCTACATCTCAGGAAAGAGGCAAAAACACATCCAGATGTGAAACACCAGCTATTTACAACTGTTTTTAAAAAAACAAAACTTAAGAAGGGCATCATTCATTTTGTATAGAGTGACAGGAAGTGCTCTCTGAAGAAGAGATGGGAATAAAGTGGCAGAGATATGAAATGCGAGAGTAAACCATAGAAACATCTTAGGGCACATATCCCAGGCAGAGAAAAAAGCAAGTGAGAGGCCCTGGGGGCAAGGACATGAGTCCAAAATGGCCAGAGAGGGGAGCTCAGGAGGGAGAGAGGAGAGAGGTAAAATCAGAGAGGAGTGGGGGCTGACCTTGCAGAACCCTCACACTTTCGATTTGATTAACATGTAAAGCCATGGGAGTGTTTTTAGCAGAGAAGTGACATGACTTGACTTACACTAATGAGGGGAGGAGGGGTGCAGAGTGGACACGGAGATCAGTGAGGAGGTTATTGCCAGTAACTCAAATAAGAGATGCTGGGGAGCCGAGGCCGGTTTGGCTCGGTGGATGGAGCGTCGGCCTGCGGACTGAGGGGTCCCGGGTTCGATTCCGGTCAAGGGCATGTACCTGGGTTGCGGGCACATCCCCAGTGGGGGATGTGCAGGAGGCGGCTGATCGATGTTTCTCTCTCATCGATGTTTCTAGCTCTCTATCTCTCTCCCTTCCTCTCTGTAAAAAATCAATAAAATATATTAAAAAAAAAAAAAAAAAAAAAGGAGATGCTGGGGACATGGATGACAGGGGCAGTGGTGGAGGGTCTGGCTTCGGCCCACCTCCAGCCTCTCCTTTTACCTGGCCTCCCACTCCTAATACCCTGGTCAAGCTGAAAGAACTGCCTGTAATTCTCTAAGAGCACCAGGCTCTTCCTCCAAGGCTGAGCTCTCAAGTGCCACCTCCCAAGCACGTCTTTCTCATTGCCACCTTCCTGACTGAACTACTCCCCCTCTACCACAGCACTCACAAGTGGCTTCCCTCTGCCCACCTCAACGAACAAGGGGCTAAATTACTTTGGAACCAGGCCCACCTGACTCCAAAGCCCTTTGTTTTTTCAGAGATCTGTGTCACAATGCAATTTTCTGTGAAATCTGAGCTAATGTGGTGGCCAAGAGTCACATGTGGCTATTGAGAGTTGAACTATAGCTAGTCCAAGCTGAGAATGACTGTTAAATACACACTCAATTTAGAAGATGATATGAACATAAGAATGTAAAAGATCTCGTTAATAATGTATCTTGATTATATGTTGAAATGATATATTGGGTTAAATTGATTACATTATCAATTTCACCTGATTTTGAAAAGAAAGAACAAAGTTAGAGGATTCACTTTCTGGTTTCAAAACTTGTTACAAAGCTACAATAATCAAAACAGTGTGGTACTGGTATAAGGATCTAGGCCAATGGAATAGAATAGAGTGCCCAGAAATAAATCCTCACATATACAGCCAATTCATTTCCGAACAAGGGTTACAAGACCATTCAATGGAGGAAGGGCAGTCTTTTCAACAAACAGTGCTAGCAAAACTGGATATTCACATACAAAAGAATAAAGCTGGACCCCTACCTTACACCATATACAAAAATTAACTCAAAATGGATCAAAGATCTAAACTCAAGAGCTAAAATTATAAAACTTATGGAATAAAACATAAGGGAAACTTTTCGTGACATTGGATTTCTTGGATGTGACACCAAAAGCACTGGCAACAAAGAAAAAAATAAAATGAACTTCATAAGAATTAAAGATCTTTTGTGTATCAGAGGACATTATCAAGAGAGTGAAAAGACAAACTGAAAAAGTTTGGTGGTGTCTCAAAAAGTTAAACATAGAAATTACCATATCATCCAGCAATTCCACTCCTTGGCATATACCCAAAAGAACTGAAAGCAGGACTCAACCAGATACTTGTATATCAATAATCACAGCTGCATTATTCATAATATTCAAAAGATGGAAATAGTCAAGAGTCTATCAACAGATGAATGGATAAACAAAATGTGGTATATACATACAAAGAAATATCATTCAACTATTAAAAGGAATAAAATTCTGATACACGAATGAACCCTGAAAACATATGCTAAGTGAAATAAGTCAGACACAGAGGATAAATGTTGTATCATTCTACTTATATGAGGTACTGAGAGTAGGCAAATCCATAAAGACAGAAACGAGAATATAAGTTATCAGGGGTTAAAGGAGAGGAGTGGGGAATTATTGTTTAACCAGAGGCCGGGTGCATGGATTCGTGCACCAGTGGGGTCCCTTGGCCTGGCCTGTGGGGAATCGGGTCAAAACCGGCTCTCCAACATCCCCCCTCAGAGGGGTCCCAGATTGTGAGAGGGCGGTTCTCGGGTGTTGCATCCTGGAATCGGGCTCCCTCTTCTCTAGTTCCAGGTGCCTCATCTGAGAACCGCAGCTGCCAAGTCACCACAGCTCGGCAGCTCCTGCATTGAGCATCTGCCCCCGGTGGTCAGTGCACATCATAGCTACCGGTCGGAGCATCTGCCCCCTGGTAGAAAAAAAGTTTCAGTTTAGCATGATGAAAAAGTTCTGGAAATAGAGGATGGTGATGGTTATACAATGTTGTGAATGCCACTGAATTGTATAGTTAAAATAATAAATTTTATGTTATGTGTAGTTTACCACAACAAAAAATAATTTTTTTAAAATATATTTTATTGAATTTTTACAGAGAAGAAGGGAGAGGGATAGAGAGTTAGAAACATTGATGAGAGAGATCGATCAGCTGCCTCCTGCACAGCCCCCAGTAGGGATGTGCCCGCAACCCAGGTACATGCCCTTGACCGGAATCGAACCTGGGACCCTTGAGTCCGCAGGCCGACGCTCTATCCACTGAGCCAAACCGGTTCGGCAACAAAAAATAATTTTATGTTTCTTTTTACTTTTTAAATGTTGCTACTAGAAAATTTACAATTACACCCGTGGCCTGCATTGTATTCCTATGGCATAGCTCTGGCTAAAGACTGTCCTTAGGTCTTCCTCCACTTTGGCCCCGCAGCTCATTACTTTACAACATTTTCCAACATGAAGGAGGAGTGACTAAAGTATAACAAAAATGACCTTCTAACTAAAGAGACTGGGACTTATGCAAACATATATTGTATCTTTTTCAACCTGGTCACTGAGGAAGGTCCTGTGCTGTGCCAACAAGGTGGTCGCCTTTTCACACCACTTGTCTTCTTTAGGAATAGCCTTCAAAGCCTGAGCCCACCTCCCCCTTTTCTCCCCAAAGTTCTCAGAGCTGGCAGATCTTCATCCTCCCAGGGAGAGTTTGATTTCTGGAAAGCACCCAACATCATCTGGATCCAAGTGTGGTGAATCAGGTGGGGCCGCAAGCTCAGGAATACCATTTCTGGTCAAATACAAGGTATGATGCTAAGACACCAGGCAGATTTTTGGGGGTGGATCATAAACTGGCCCTGAAATGAATTCCAACGCAGCTTGTGAGCACAGCTTCACTGGAGGAAACCTACAGCCCCAACAGGGCTGTATATACTATGCCATGTAAATAACAAGGTGTAAGAAAGGCCTCTTATTTCTTCAGTTGCACCTTATAAACACATTTTTTTAAAATGCCTTCAGAAGCCCCTCCCTCCCTCCCTCCCTTCCTCCCTCTCTTTCTCTCTCCTTCCCCAAGCCCTCCCCCATGCTCGTTTTCCTTGCCTCTTTCTCCTAACTCCAAGGGTTCATTTTTTTTTCTTTTCCCTCTGTAACTTATTTCCTGATCTCATTTCTTCTGCAGCTCACTTCTTCTAACTCTGTGACTTACTAAATCAGCGGTTCTCAACCTGTGGGTCCCGACCCCTTTGGGAGTTGAACGACTCTTTCACAGGGGTCGCCTAAGACCATCGGAAAACACATATATAATTACATATTGTTTTTGTGATTAATCACTATGCTTTAATTATGTTCAATTTGTAACAATGAAATTGGGGGTCACCACAACATGAGGAACTGTATTAAAGGGTCGCGCGGCATTAGGAAGGTTGAGAACCACTGTTCTAAATAAACTTTTGGGGGGGAAAATGCGTTCAGCCCCAAGCTTTACCCTTAAGGTTGTAACAAGCCTACTTGGCTTATCAATATTTAGATTTATTAGTGTTACCACAACAACACTGTTATATTTGCAGTACAATAAAAACATGGGCCCTAGTTGGTTTGGCTCAGTGGATAAAGCGTCGGCCTACAAACTGATGGGCCTGGGGCTGGATTCTGGTCAAGGGCATGTACCTCAATTGCAGGCTTGATCCCTGGCCCTGGTTGGGGCACATGCAGGAGGCAAATTGATGTGTCTCTCTCACATTGATGTTTCTCCCTTCTCTAAAAATCAATGGAAAAATATCCTCAAGTGAGGATTAACAACAACAATAAAAGACATGGGACCAGAAGTCAGGAATCCTGCGCACAAACCCTGACTCCATCAGCAATTAGCTACACTTTGGGCCCATCTCTTGACCTCCTGTTTTCAGGAGCCAAACAACAGTATCTATTCAAAGCCATAATGCATTTAGTCTTTTTTTTTCTCATGGCAACTAGGCAATATATAACAAGAGCCATAAAAGTGACT